ACAGCAGTAGATCAAAGACCCTTTCCACTCTGCAACTTGGATCTGCTTACAAACCAAGGCGTATTGGCAAGTAACTTAATCCTTTAACTTCCTTCCTATTATCTCTTTGCTGTGTTGTGGGTCTTTATATGCATATATATATATATATATATATATATATATATATATCTTAGTGACATCTCTTTGTAAATATTTTATTGCACCTGTTTGACTCTTTTAGTATTAAATCTTTCTTTCTGAAAGTGTTAAACTGTTTTTAAGTGCTTACTTGCAATTCACGAATTCCTGCCTTTGAAGAGACGCTACTGTTTGGTATAATCCCTGTATAACAGGCCTGCGGACCGTGTTATATTGACCAATATTTCAATCATTATAGTGTATATTTGATAATGGGAGTTTCCCAGTCTCCGACAAAAGTGGTGGTGACAGTAGAGGGTTAGTTGCGTAATTAACCCGACCCAGTAACAAGCACATTCAGGCTGCAGGCACCGATTGTAGCCCATTAGCTGGACAATCGCTGTGCAGGGTGCAGCTGGGTGTGGCCTTGTTACGCGCGTCACACCGCGGTTTTAGATCGGCCAGGTCCTTCGGTCACGAGTTTGGTGAGAAGGTTTGGGGTCTGATGCCGCGGGCGTGACGTATTATTGTTGGTCGCGGTCGTGCGATTGTTTCATGTTGGTGGCGGCGATCGTGCGATTGTGACAACCATAATCCCCCCTCCACCAAACTTTACACTTGGCACAATGCAGTCAGGCAAGTGCCGTTCTCCTGGAAACCGCCAAACCCAGACACATCTAACGGATTGCCATAAACAGAAGTCACTCCAGAGAATGTGTGTCCACTGCTCTAGAGTCCAGTGGCGGCATGCTTTACGCCACTGCATCCACCGCTTTGCACTGCACTTGGTGATGTAAGGCTTGGATGCAGCTGCTCGGCCATGGAAGCCCATTCCATGAAGCTCTCTACGCACTGTTGTTGTGCTAATCTGAAGGACACCTGAAGTTTGCAGGTCTTTAGCTATTGACTCTGCAGACAGTTGGCGGCCCCGCTCTGTCATTTTACGTAGCCTACTACTTTGTGGCTGAGTTGCTGTTGTTCCCAGTTGACCGTGGAAAATTTAGTATGATGGGTAGATTGTATGATGTAGGGAACTATGGTGTATTTTTTGTATTTTTTCTAGTATTTTTTAAAATAATTTTTTTAATATATGGTTATCGTCTTAATTTATTCCCCAGAGATGTGGATTGATTTATAATTATAAGGGTATCCCCCTAGTTTATCCCCTAGAGATGTGGATTGACTATTGATTTATTTATGTTATTTTTAACAAAATCCAGTAGTATATATTTGATTGAGGGATTCATTGTTATTTATTATTTAGTTCCCCAATAGAGGTTTACCTATTTGTAGGATCCCCTGATGGGAGATTCTCCCATTGATTATACGTTGTAGTATGCGGCAGGCTATATGATAGGAGGGAGACGGGAAAATGGCCGCCGTTGTAAATGGGAGAGGTAGTCGGGAAAATGGCGTGGGTACGGTGGAGTGCATGGGAGGCGGGCCTCCAGCGATGTTGTTACATCGGGTCCAGTATAAAGGGAGGAACTGCGCTCGTAGGGTGTTACCCAGATGAAGTCACGAGCAGACGGTGACGTAACGCGTAGGTACGCGAGTCCGTAGTTCCGGTGCATGGTGACGCATTTCCGGCGTGAGACGCCATCTTGCTACACCCAAGAGGTCCCATTCGCATGCAGTACACCCACACATCAGTGAGGAGGGAAGATTGTCTGCAATGTGAGTGTTATCCTTTTTTACTCTTTGAAAATAAAAACAAGTGGATTTAATACTACACTTAGAGAGTATTTCTTTGGCTCACTGGATTGGTGAGCTATTACTCTTCAGGACTGCCCTGACTGAATAGGGGCTCTTTGGAACCCTGCTGAGGAGATCCAGGGAAGGAAGGAAGCTGCTGGCCTTGACAAAATAAGGATCCAGGTGATCCTGCAAGCCTGTTGGCCCTTCGGGGTCAGTAGGAGGAGGAGGTGAGGGGGCAATTTAGCCATTTACGGAAGGAGTTTGGCACAGTCACGGTTTTATTCATTATCACAGCTGCACGTCGCATGAATATATATATTTTTCTTTTCACCGAAAGGACATTGTTCTTTATTTATACACATATGTGGTTTTATTTGTGTGGCACTTTGTGAGCACTGCTAAAGTTTTTTTCCTTATTGGACAATTTTTTTGAAGCAATATTTTTTGAAGCAATATTTATTAAATGTATGCACATTATGTTTATGGTCATGGTTTGGCACTTAATTTTTTATTTTTTAAGGGTTGGCACTAATATATATCACTGTTGATTTTTTTTTGTCATTTGTATTATTCTTGAGTTGTAGTTGTTTTGAGCGCTGCACTACTTTTTTACAATTTATTAACTTTCACTGCCAGTGACCATCAATGTAGGGGCAATGGTGGTGGAGGGTATTAACTTTCACTGCCAGTGACCATCAATGTAGGGGCAATGGTGGTGGAGGGTGTGACGGGTGCGGCGTCAGACCCCAGCCCTTCTCACCAAACTCATGACCGAGACTAGCCAATCTAAAACCGCGCTGTCACGTGCGTAACAATGCCACACCCAGCTGCACCCTGCACAACGATTTTCCAGCTAATTGGACCACAATCGATATACCGGCAGCCTGAATGCGCTTGTTACTGGGTCAGGTTAATTACGTAATTAACCCTTCACACTGCCACCACCTCCTTTTTATACAGAGAAAGAGGAAACTCAGCAATACACTAGGAAGATTGGTTAATCAACAGTATACCGCTATCTCTACAGACCGGTTATACAGAGGGTTAAACACTCATAGTAGCGTTCTTCAGTGGCAGGGACTCGTAAGTTACATTCAAGAGCTATAGAAACAGTTCAAATCTTTCAGAAAGTAAGATTTATTACCAAAAGGTTAAAGGGGTGCAGAAGAAATATTTACAGAATGAAGATGTAACCAATATATATATATATATATATATATATATATACATAAATATACAGAGCATAACAGCACAGCAAACAGATAACAGAAAGAAGTTTAGGTAAATAAGTACTGGCCCACAAAGATGCCTGGGGTTAAGCAGTTTCAAATCTGATGAGCTTAAAAGGGATGTCTGGTCTCGCACTCGGCTTCGTTGTTGCAGCGAGATTCTCCTTTGCTTTCTGTCCAAAAGATGTTATATCGAGGACGGTCCTCACTGCTCTGACTACACCCAAAACATAACAGCTTCTTTTCCTACACAAAATCAACTGGCATCTTCTGACCACGACAAGCCAAGCCTTATTTGGCAAAGAAGTGTTAGGCAGGGGCTCAGCATCATACGCTGGTTGCATTCCTGAGGGAGGGGGAATGAGGGGATAACATGAAGACTTCTTCACACAGTGAGAATGCCTGGCTCTGGGGTCCATGCCTGCTACACCTCCCCCTCCCCCTCAGGTGACTGCATATTAGTTTAAGAAAAAATACCACAATGCAGAAGTTTGAAGCAAAATGGAGAACTGCACCTCTCCCTGTGTGCATGATTGTGACAGACGGTATTAACTTTCACTGCCAGTGACCATCAATATAGGGGCAATGGTGGTGGAGGGTTATAACTTTCACTGCCAGTGACCATCAATGTAGGGGCAATGGTGGTGGAGGGTATTAACTTTCACTGCCAGTGACCATCAATGTAGGGGCAATGGTGGTGGAGGGTATTAATTTTACTGCCAGTGACCACCAATATAGGGGGGTTAAATTGCACTGCGATGACCATCAATACGGAGGGAGGCTGAGAAGGGGGTTAAGTTTCACTGCCACTGACCACCAATTCAGAAGGTGAAGGGTTTAAATTTTCACTGCCAATGACCACCAATGCAGGGAGGTTAACATTCGCTGCCACTGGCCACAAGTGCAGGGGACAGTACATTTCAATGTTAGTAACCACCAATGTGGCTGCCAGTGACCACCAATGCAGGGGAGGTAGAGGGGTTAACTTTCACTACTACCGAACACTTGTGTGTGGAGGGGGGGGTTACATTTCACTGCCATAAGCACCAATGCAGGAGTAGATGGGGGGGTTAACGTTCACTGACGCTTACCACCACTGCAGGGGGATTCAATTTCACTGCCATGACCACCAATTCAGGAGGTGTGGGGTTACATTTAATGGCCATTAACCACCAATGCAGAGAAGGCCGGGAATTTCACTTCCACCAGTGACAACCAAGGCAGGGAAGGTAGGGAGTTTAATTCCACTGCCTGTGGCCACCAATGTAGGGAGGATAAAATTTCGCTGCCAGTGATCACCACTTCAAGGGGTGGGGGGTTACATTTTCTTGTCAGTGACCATCAATGCAGAGGAGGTTGAGTGTTACATTTTTCTGCCACCAGTTACCATCAAGGTGGGGGGGGGGGGGGGGGGGGGGGTGAGAGTATAATGTTCACTGCCAGTAAGAACCACCAATGTAAGGAGGCAAAATTTCACAGCCAATGAGCACCAATGTAATTTCACTGCTTTACCACCAATGCCGGTGGGGTCAATAAAACTGACCCAACTCATTGCGTTCACTGACACTGATTTTGAAGGTTATAAGTGCACCTACTGACACCAATGTTGAGGGTTATTATTGCATCCACTCACATCAATGCTGGGGGTTAATATTAAACTGGCTGACACTATAGCTGGGGTTATTTTACTCCAACTTTTTCAGTGTGTATTGTGATACACTACAAAAAAATACAGCAAGACCAACATTTTGGGTATTGGGGTGCAAAAATGTACAGCTATTGTGCAGCCCTTTGGAAGTATACAGGACAGCACTTCAGGACCTCTCTAATTTTCAAGCTGACCACCACTGGTCTTGTGGTTAATCGCTACAAACCAAGTACTGTCACATGATGGAGGGGGGTGAGGGGGTGACATCATGACTCCTGCAAGACAAACGCAGGTGAACTTGATCTGGGAAGCACATTGTGTGTTTATACTTCCCATGTAGGAGCCTACTATGAATAAAGCCTAAGGCAGGTAAACGCACAGTGTGAATTACACTTAGCGGCCACCAGGGGCGGACTGACAACTCCTGGGGCCCCCGGGCAGTAATGGATCATGCGGCCCCTGTGTCCTCACCCACACTCAAACCACACCCAAAAAAGCCTATGAAAGACACCAGGGGCATCTCATGGGGCCCCCTACTGACCCCGGGCCCTCGGGCAGTGCCCGAGTTTCCAAATGGTCAGTCCACTCCTGACGGCCACTTTATTAGGTACACCTTGTTAGTACTGGGTTGGACCCCTTTTTGCCTTCAGAACTGCCTTAATTCTTCATGGCATAGATTCAACAAGGTATTGGAAACATTTCTCCATTGTGGTCCATATTGACATCAGTTACTGTTGCCTTTCTATTATCTCAAACCAGTCTGTCCATTTTCCTCTGACATCAACAAGGCATTTTCGTCCACACAACTGCCACTTACTGGATATTTTCTCTTTTCCGGACCATTATCTGTAAACCCTAGAGATGGTTGTGCTTGAAAATCCCAGTAGATCAGCAATTTTTTAAATACTCAGGCCAGCCTGTTTGGCACCAACAACCATGCAGCATTCAAAGTCACTTAAATCCCCTTTCTTCCTGATTCTGATTCTCAGTTTGAGCTTCAGCAAGTCATCTTCACCACGTCTAGATGCCTAAATGCATTGAGTTGCTGCCATGTGATTGGCTGATTAGCAATTTGTGTTACCAAACAATTGAACAGGTGTACCTAATAAAGTGGCCGGCGAGTGTGTATTATACATGAAAAGCATAACCTGCATTTCTATGCATTTACAAATGTCCTAGAAATACATAGAAATGCAGGTTTGTCAATACCAGCATGAATAAGACCTAAGAGTTCTAATTAGCCCCACAATTCTGCCAGAAAATGTAAACTTCCATTGAATTGTGAGACTTCAGTGCTGCCTGCAGTGCTCCTTCCCTAGGAACCTTCGTCATCACAGAGTTTCTGCTGAAAGTACAAAAATTTCCCAAGATAGGCACTAAAAGCCATTACATAGTGAGGTCACTGTCCTTGTTTACTTTGCAGCAGTTTTCATTGCCAACCTTAGGAGATTTTTGTATTTCCAGGAGAACCTCTGTGATGATCTAGGGGGTGTGGGGGAATACGTTAAAGTGGTGCGGAAATCTTACAGTCTTCCTCTCCTCCGTGAAATCTTGATTTTCTGGCTGAATTGTGGCTCTAACATCTTTGCTTAGACGTCAGACATGAGTTTTCTAAGTACATCTCAAACAGATTGCCATTCTTTGTTTAGTTGTGATGAGGTGATGTGGTGGCAGGGTCTCTTTAACCCCTTCCCCTCTGGAGAAACTGTTTTTCATTTTTCACACTTGTTAAAATCTGCTATTTACATCATTATTGAAATCCTTCAGAATATTATATCTTTTCTGAAAGAAGAGGCCCTATAGAATAAAAGAAGGTAGATTAAATTTTGTGTGACACACTGTATTTGTCCAACTGCTCATCAAATCTATAATTTTTTCTGGAACAAAATACACTAAAATCCCATTTAGCGCATACGAACACAAGATAATTCCTGATTATTTCGTGCAAAATAAAAGATGAGGCTGTGTCAAGTAAACCACCCAAGGTGTTAGACCTTTAAAACTGATTCTGCCTGAGGAAAAATTGCAATCTCCAAAACTATCAATTTAAATGTCTTTCCAGCTCATGAGTTTAGAGTTTAATCATGAATTATTGCTCTTCTTCTGGCATGTACAACAATACCCAATATGTGTTGTACAATTGCTGTTTACTCACATGTGTATGCCCAACCTATGTGTTTGGATGTGTGTGCGTGGAGCAACAGGGTGCATTCAAATTTGTTGTTGTATTTTTAATTATTTTAATATATTTACACATTGTAAACACTTTTTTACATTTAATTTCATTGCTATCACAAGAGGAGTAAAAAGCCACCTGTATTGGGCATGGTGACATGTTTTTCTAATGTAGAGATCTAATGTATTAGACCCCTACTGTCTCCTCTGCCCTCAGCTTCATATGCATCCAGTATGCCAGCCGACCAAGTAAAGGATGTTACCGGTCTTTCTAGTTGAGATTTTGACAGGTCTGAACCAGAAGTGCTCCTAACTAAGCATTTCAGGTTGAGATGAACACAGAATGGGTGTTGTCTCTGCATTCTTCCTGCTCCCCACGGGGATAGCCTGGGAACCACCATGGGCTTGTTTAACCACTTCCCGACCACCCTATAGCAGATATACTGCGAGACAGGGCGGCAGGGGTGTATATATACATGATTCTGTATTTCTTGGTAGGGGTGTGCACGAGCCTTGCGTGTGCGCCCTACCAGCGCCACCATTTACGGCCGCGACTGTCAATCACCGCGTCCCTGCCAGTGATTACCTGCCGGTGCATGGTATTTTCCAAGTATCTCTGATGGGGAGGAGGACTGCTTTGTTTACTAACAGTCCTCCTCCCTGTCAGCTCGGGCACACTGCTCTGGATGGTTGTGCTTACAGCACAGCTATCCAGAGCAGTGTGCTTACAGTGAAGCCCACACACACCGCTGTAAAACACTCCCCTGCACACAATGAACCCATTTGATCGCCCATCATGTTAACCCCTTGCTGCCCAGAGCCATTAGTACAGTGTCAGTGCTTTTTTTAGCACTGATGACTGTATTGGTGTCACTGGGGATGTCAGTGACACCAAGTCAGTTTCCCCCCAGTGTAAGAACACCAGCCACAGTCCCGCAGTCCCGATATAAGTCGCTGCTTCACTTCTCCAGAGCATGCAATATATGCAGTGTGGGTACACAGCACACTGATAGGTGATCCTTCACTGGCTGCAATGGCCTTTCACCTCCAATCGGCGACCCCAAGGGGTGAGAGGCCATTGCAGCCAGTGAAGGATCACCTATCGGTGTGCTGTGTACCCACACTGCATATATTGCATGCTCTGGAGCAGTGAAGCACCTTGATTGTGTTATTTCACCTACATTGGACTTTGTTTTGCAATTTTCACTTATTTGATCAATGTGTTTGTTTTGTATTAGTTTGTTTGTACACTTTTGCACAGAGTATATATATCCCTCAATAGGGACTCACAATATAAACGTGGTAGTGTATAGTATTTAGGTTTTGTATCCCAATATTGGGAGTCACTGGTTACACTTTTTGTGGTTGTATCCCATTATAGGGATTGTGTGATTTATCACTTATTTCTAGGTCACTTATTGGGTCCAAGAATAGGACCTTGTGTGTTGTTTTTCACTTATATTCACTATTATATGATATATGTAGTTTATATTTATTTATATAGCGCTACACCATTTCTTTTTGTTTAATAATGTTGTGGATTGTTCTCCATGACATCATGACAAGTTGCCGAATGGTTTCTACATTTTCGGGGATTGAGCTCATTGAAGTTCTTCCTGATCTCGCGTTGTCTTCCAATGCTGTTATTCCTCTCTTGAAGCACGTGTGCAACTCAAAACATCTCAAATGAATCATTGCAGCTTCGCTATAGACTTGCCAAATCATGTCAAACCTCTCTGTGGCAGATTTGCCCAGTTTCACGTAGAATTTCACGTTTGCTCTGTGTTCTAACTTGCTGTTTATGATGAATTAGCAGATGGGGTAAAGCATGTGGTCAGAATAGCACCAGTTGCACAGCTCCTGATGTACACAAGACAATGTCTTTTGGCACAATGACTTATGAACTTTGGTGCCCCCTGTGACAGTGCCTGTGCGCCTTGTGCTGCGATCTGTTGGCGTGTTCCAAAACTGGTCTTGAAACTTTTTATATTACCTCGTATTCTTTTGCTTTGGATATGTGAGGCTTTTTTTTTCTTTTTTAACATTCACGGGTGTATACAGTTTAACCTTTAACCCCTTCCTGCCACCTCCTAGTGGCCCTTTAAGCAGGCTTTAAGGGAGCACAGGGGAGTGTCCAATATACATAGATATACACTAATAAATTGTTGTTACCCCACCAATCTTTCATGAGTATGCTTGTATGAATAGATGAGTTAGTTAGCTATGATAAAAGTAGTTCCAAAGGTTAGTGATTTTTTTTACCTTCTTTTCTCTCCCCCTCAGCCCCTTAATGCTAACCTGAGCCTGATCTCAATTAAGCGCTGTGCCTGAGAACTGCAGCTCTCTCTTTTCTCACAGGACAGATACTTTGACAGGGAGGGAGGGGGGTGGGAAGGGCCAAGCAATGCTGTCTGTGTCTATGGACACAGGCAGCACACCTTGAGTTTGAGCCTGCATGAGTGCCCCCATATGAATCAGTTACCAATGGGGGGGTCTCACTGAAGAGAAGGAGGAAATAGGAGTGCCAGTGGGGGACTTCAAAAGAGGAGGATCGGGGCTGCTCTGTGCAAAACCATTGTATCACATATTTATTATTTAACAAAAAAATTAAGCTTTAGAATCACTTTTAGGTGAGTTTTTTTTTTAAATAAATACTAGTAAACTTTGAAGAGAACTCGTACCATGTGCAGGACTATCTTTGGAGGAATGCTTTATAAATTGTCCCCTTAGTCTGTATTCAAACTCATGTGTTTTGATGCGCAGTAGGTATGGCATGCTGTATTTTTTCCCAGAAACCACGCTAAAGATGCAGTACGTATTTTGAATGAATTTTTAGAATTTTATAAAGGTCGGCTTCATATCTGTGCATTTCAGTAATTCAAAGTAAAGCTTGTGTATTGCTTTGTGTTTGCCGCATGGTGAATCAAGATTCGTCTTTTAGTGGATTGCTCCCAATAACACATTTAATGACTTTAGGTTTTAAAACAAATATTTTCGAGCACAACAACAAATGTTTTAAGTTACACTATAGATTTTTATCTAAGTAAATTTATTTTTAGTTGTTTTTTTTGCCTATTGAGAGAACAAATACGTACAGTATGTGATTTGTAAATCTCTATTGCATCAGCCAAACAACCGTCCGATGTATGGTTAAAAATATATTGACACCATCCAAGCAAAAGTATTAGGATATTAACATAAATAATATATTAGGTAACGCTCATATTAAATTCTGACTGCTTTTTCTATAGAAAGTTAAATTGTCAACATGAGTAGGAAAAAATATTGACAAAACAGGTTATTGATGAAGCAAAGGTGATAGTGATATTGGAATGATCCTGTAGAAGGCATGATTAATATGTGACTATTAATACAACAAATCTTTGGTATCTATTGGATGTGCTGTCGGGGACAACAGAGAGGGGGGTTCTGCTTCACCTTGTTTTGGTCAACATTCATCAGAGAGAATTTTTCATGAGGAATCCCAGAGGAGAGTGTACTTGTCCTCACACGGGCTGCAATGTTGTTAGTGCTAAAACCCATCAACTCCTGAGTCAAACAGGACATATTCAGTAATTACAGCAATTTTTCATAACACCGGATAGAGACATTCGACGACGTACAAGACACATTGGGGCATATATTCAACTTATTGGGGGCAAATGTTCACACTACATCTCGGCTATAGAATATATGTTTCAAATGTCTACAAAACTGATACATTTTAGTTTTTCAAGCTGTGATGGTTATTTCTTTTACTTATTTTACTCTTTTACTGGTTAAGTAACCACATAAGTATGATAAAAGGTAGGAATATTTTATAGTATTACTATGGCTAGAATTTTGATGGTTAACTTATATTGAGCCCACATACTGTATTATGCAATACTTTAAGTCCAGCTTATTTTTTTACATTACATTGTGCCGTAACCGCTTCCGTGCCGCTTTATATCAGAAATACTGTTATATACATGGTGGCACGACTGGGCAAAATCCTGTATATATATATATATATATATATATATATGGGATTTTTTGCAGTTCCGGGTAGGAAGCCTGCCGTTCGTGGCCTCAGCTATCAATCACCGTGTCCCGGACAATGATTCCCCTCCGGCACCCAGCGATCTCTGAGTATTACTGACATAGTAGAGACCTGTATGTAAACAATACAGATCTCTCCCCTGTCAGCTCCTGCACACTGCTTTGTATGGCTCTGCATAGCAGAACCATACAAAGCAGTGTGCTTACAGTGTAAAGCACTCACAGACAACATAGTAAAACAGCACACAGTTAACCCTTTGATTGCCCCACATATTAACCCCTTCCTGCACAGTGTCATTAGTACAGTGCCAGTGCTTTTTACTGATCACTGGGGATGTCAGTGACACCAAGTCAGTTCCTCCCAGTGTCAGAATACCTGCCGCAATCACAGCAGTCGCTGATCGCTGCCATTACTAGTAGAAAAAAAAAAGGTAAAAAAAATTTCCAGTATCTATACCGCCATTTGTAAACGTTATAACTTTCACATAAACCAATTAATTTACATGTATTGAGATTTTTTTTTTAGCAAAGACGTCGCAGAATATATTTTGGCCTAAATTTATGATGAAATTTTTATTTTTATTTTTTTTTTACTGTATATATTTAATAGTAAAAAGTCAACAATATAGGTTTTTTTCAAAACTGTCAGATTTTTTGTTTATAGCGCAAAAAATAAAAAATGCACAGAAATCAAATACCACTGAAAGAAAATTGTCAGGGACCCCAGATCACGGGTCTGCGCATGCGCAGTATGCCCGGCCACACTAGAGTGCGAGCAGTGGGACCTGGGCACCCGCAACGGCAGCAGCGGTCGCGCATGCGCACTCGCGATTGTGGACGCGCGCCTGGCACCAATCAGGGCGCAGGGCACCCTATTTAAACAGGTCAGATCTGTGCTCTAATTGCTGTATGGTCTTATCTGTCCCCTGTGTTCCTGAATTAGATTGATTTGTTGCCGACCCTGCCTGACCTTGATTTGTTGACTGTCTCCTGCTCTGATCCCTGGCTTGCCAGACCATTCTCCTGTGTAATCCCACACGTTTTGATCTCCTGTTACCGAACCCGGCTTGTGACCAGTTTATCCTTCTGTCTACTGTTTTCTGCCGTTCTGCCTCCACTGCTACTGACTCAGCCTGCCCGACTCTGCTCTTTCTACCTCCTTACATCAGGCTCTCACCTACTATACACCTCCGGCCAGTGCTTCTACCACAGCTGGGTGCACCCAGGGGCAGCGACCTGGTTTCGGCCTGCTCTAAGTCCATCCACACCATCAGGGGCCCTGGTGAACAAGCAGGTCGGGGCTAAGATTCCGCGCCTTGGGGAATTACGGTCTGTGGAATGCTAGAGGCTACCGCCGGCAGGTCCATAACAAAAGCTCTATTTGTGGGAAAAAAAGAGATTTTAATTTCAGTTGGGTGCAGAATTGCATGACCGTGCAATTGTCAGTTAAAGTAACGCAGTGCCATTGCATTTTAGCAGTCCGTTTAAAATTAATGAACTGCCAATGCACCATAACCTGCCAAAAATCACACATGATGCATGGCAACTTACTACTGCATGTTGTGGCAGACTACAGTACAAGTGTATCACCTTGAGGCTCCTCCACACCAGCCCCATTTGGGCATTATTGCTCAGTGCAGTCCCAGCACATAGACAAGACAATGTGTCCTATTGCCTCTTGCACTAGTACACTAGTACAGCACATTGGTGTGCACTAACTAAAAAAAAATAAAGAAAAGTTGCAGTTTTGCTTAGAGCAGCTTTTTCTAGCACACTATAATTGAGATTTCATTATTTCACATTAAAAGCAGCTAGATGGGTCAGGGATGACTTTTAACACAACAGCCTAGTGCGTTATTCCAATGTAACATCTATTATGAGATAAAAATAGGTCTACTCACAAGCACCATATCCGGCAAAGCTCATCAAAATATCAGAATTAGTCAGTCCAGCCCTCTTGCTTGGGGTAATGAATAAGTGCTGTCTCTAGCATGAAACACGTTTACCTGCCAGTCCCCCACTGTATTTCCACTGTTTGCATTGGTTTTATCTTGGTTCAGTAAAGTGGATTGTTTGGAGTGCAGCCGATCAGACATCCTTGTTCCCACCCTTCTTGCTCCTGAGCTTGGGAAGAAACCACCTGAATCCAAACTGACTTACGTGTTTCAAGCAGGGGCAGACTGACCATTTGAGCCCTTGGGCACTGCCCGAGGTCCTGGGGTCACTAGGGGTCCCATGAGATGCCCCTGGTACCTTTCGTTGGCTTTTTCATAGGCTTTTTTGGGTGTGGGCAAGGACACAGGGGCCACATGATCCCCTATTGCCCAGGGGCCCCATGAGTTGTCAGTCCGCCCCAGGTTTCAAGGCTAGTACCCTCTTCCTCAGAGCCAAAAGCTTTTTTATAGCTTGTTAAGAATATATAAATAGTTTTATATCTTTAGTACGAGCATATGTGCATTTTAATAAAGAAGGTTTAACTGTGTTTACTGTGAGTGCCCAATTGTGTAGGATTTTTTGCAGACAATTGATTGGATGATTGAAGTGAATGCAGCTTCATCTTAGTCACTTAGCAATGTTGACTTTGCTAAGGGAGCAATCATGAATGGTTTTGCAAATGAACCCCACTAAATAATTTTATTTGTTCCCCAAATCATTTCAGTAATTTAACTGAAAATATAAAGCTCCAACTAACTCCAAGAAGATAAAAATAAATGACTGTAACTCTGTGTTTATTAATACATCATTAAATGTATTTTATAAATGCACTCAGCGTGAATATCTGAATCTGACTCAACATAGCTGAGATTAGAAGGGATAAAAGCAACACAAGCTGCCAATTGGCCATGCTGCCTTGCAAATAGCCTTCTGATAGGAGGAAAATGCAGACTGACAGAAAATGGGCTCATTTATCTGCTGCTTCTCCTTTCACTGTCCAATCATGGGGTAGGTGTGGGGCGGAGAGCTATAAGTGTCCTCTTCTTCCCTGCCAGACAGGGCTGTGTAGTGTGGCTAAGCTGTGTAAATATCTAAAGTTGATGAACACAAATGCAAAGCCTTTGTCTAGTAAAAACGGTTTCCATGAATGTAATTCACATGTGTATTTAGCGGTTTGCCTGAAGTATGCAGGACCAGCCTGCGGTGTTGCAAGAAACTGTGTACACTGGCTCACAAGGACAGATATAAACCACTCGATAGTGCAAGACCTGTAAAAATACTGCTCCCCAATATATGCAGGAAGGAACCTGCTGTGTGTCAAAACCGTATATGTCAGCTCATCCTCGTTCTCCTGCATATATTGGGGAGCAGTATTTTTACAGGTCTTGCACTATCAAGTGGTTTATATCTGTCCTTGTGAGGCAGTGTACACGGTTTCTTGCAACACCGCAGGTTGGTACTGCATATATCAGAGAGCACTATACCTAGGGCTCTTTGTAATATTGATGGGATGAATGATGGAATTGGACATACCGTATTTTTCGCTCCATAAGACGCACTTTTTTCCCCACAAAAAGGGGGGGGGGGGGGAATGTCAGTGCGTCTTATGGAGTGAATAGGGAGCGGCTGGTCTGGTATTTCCGCCACTGACACCGTGTCAGAATACTAGGCCGGCCGCTCAGCTCTTCTCTGCAGCAGTATCTTACCTGTTCCTCGGTCCATGACTGTACAGTCTTCCTGCGCCGGCATCTTTTGTGTGGGCACCCGGCTGTGACCTGTCATGTGTCCCCAGAAGATGCCGGGCCATTTACAAAGCACAGCGCTTCTTGCGCATGCGCAGTGGGCACCCGGCTGTCACAGCCAGGTGCCCATACTAAAGGGAGGACAACTCCATGGAAGTGGGAGCGGGTATTGTGACGGGCGCGTCATCAGACCCCAGCCCTTCTCACCAAACTTGTGACCGAAGGACTAGCCAATCTAAAACCCCTCTGTCACGTGCGTAACAATGCCACACCCAGCTGCACCCTGCACAACAATTTTCCAGCTAATGGACCACAGATCGATGTACCGACAGCCTGACAACCTGTTACTGGGTCAGGTTAATTACCCAAATAACCCTTCACACTGCCACCACCTCCTTTTTATATAAAGAGGAAACTCGGTGCTATCAGCTAAAACACTATAATGGTTAAGATAACCGTCTGCATAATACGGTCATCGCAGGCCGATTATTCAGAGGGTTAAACAAACACAGTAGCGTCTCTTTAGAGGCAGGAATTCGTAAATTGCAATACAGAGCTATAGAAACAGTTCAACATTTTCAGAAGGAAAGATTTATTACTAAAAAGTCAAATGGGTGCAATAAAAATATTTACAGAAAAGATGTAACTAAGATATATATATATATAAATATACAGAGCACAACAGCACAGCAAACAGATAACAGAAAGATGTTTAGGCAAATAAGTACTTGCCAAATAAATGCCTGGAGTTAAGCACTTTCAAGTCTAATGAGCTAAAAAAGGGATTTCTGGTCTTGCACTGGGTTTTGTTGTTGCCACAAGATTCTCCTTTGCTTTCTGTCCGATAGATGTTATATCGAGAACGTTCCTCACTTCACTGACTGAACACAAAAGATAACACTTCTTTTTCTACACAACATCAACTCGTATCTTCATTACCTTATTTGGTAGAGGAATTGTTAGGCAGGGCTCAGCATCATACGCAGCTTGCATTCCTGAGGGAGGGGGGAAATCGGAGGAGGGAGACTGATGTGTTTTGGGAAGAGATACCAAAATGTAGATGTTTGGAGCAGAATGGATGACCGCACCTCTCCCTGTGTGCATGATCGTGACAGGTACCTGGTCATCCCCTGTACTGTCTGCAGTCTCTTGGTCATCCCCTGTACTGTCTGCGGTCTCTGGTCATCCCCTGTACTGTCTGCAGTCTCTGGTCATCCCCTGTACTGTCTGCAGTCTCTGGTCATCTCCTGTACTGTCCTCAGTCTCTGGTTATCTCCTGTACTGTCTGCGGTCTCTGGTCATCCCCTGTACTGTCTGCAGTCTCTGGTCATCCCCTGTACTGTCTGCAGTCTCTAGTCATCTCCTGTACTATGTCCGCAGTCTCTGGTCATCTCCTGTACTATGTCCGCAGTCTCTGGTTATCCCCTGTACTGTCTGCAGTCTCTGGTCATCTCCTGTACTATGTCCGCAGTCTCTGGTCATTTCCTGTACTATGTCCGCAGTCTCAGGTCATCTACTGTACTATGCCCGCAGTCTCTGGTCATCTCCTGTACTGTGTCTGCAGTCTCTGGTCATCTCCTGTACTATGTCCGCAGTCTCTGGTCATCCCTTGTACTGTACTGCAGTCTCTGGTCATCGCCTCTATATGTCTGCAGTCTCTGGTCATCTCCTGTACTGTGTCCGCAATCTCTGGTCATCTCCTGTGCTGTGTCCGCAGTCTCTGGTCATCTCCTATACTATGTCTGCAGTCCATTGGTTCAGAATTTTTTCTTGTTTACTCCTCTAAAACCTAGGTGCATCTTATGGTCAGGTGCATCTTATGGAGCAAAAAATACGGTATTTGTTTTCTAAGCCCTATACTATATTTACTGTGTTAATATAAAGAGGAAAAGCAATAAGATCTGGATGTTGAGATATTCCATGTGTATCCCAATTGGATATATTTGCCTTTGAAGTCCCATATTATTGTGTTAATATAAAGAGGAAATACAATAAGATCTGGATATCGAGACACTCCATGTCATTTCTGCAGTGTTTCGTGGTGTGGCCGTAGTGATCCATATCCTCATTTGGGCATATCTGCCTTTAAAGCCCTATATTATACCTATTGTGCCAATACAAAGAGGAAATATAATTAGTTCTGGACATTGAGATACTTCATATGTCCCGTGGTATGGCCGTAGTGATCTGTATCTCCTCCCTTTTTCTTTCTCAGGGGTGTCTCCCATGATATTCTTTGGATTATATTCCATTGAGTACAACTAAGAGGTGGTGTGTACTGTTTTTGAGGTTTATACACTTCATGTGACCTGGGATGTGCCCTGGTGATTCGAGGTTTTTTTCTGGGGGTTTCCGCTGTCTGGGTTTGGTTGTCCCCTAGTCATACAAGGTGACATTTTGAAGCATCATGTCTTTTAATCAACCATTCTTTTTGTACTTTCATGTATTATGATGTCATCCATATGCAGAGTTCTCTCTTTTCCCTAAGGAAGGAGTGGAATCACTCAGAAACGCATTGGAACAATTAGAATAGTATCTCTGCAGTTTTTGTACATCAATGATGATATCATAATTCATATTCTCTATGGTCAGTCAAACATAGTCATACTGGGTATCCTTATCATGTAAATTAATATTCTGGTTTCATGCTGTACTAGGACTCTGTATGATGTATTGTATTGTATGTTTATGTGTCATAACAATTTTTCACAAATAAAAATGTGTACTTTTTTAATATTTTTGGTACTATTTAAGCCTTCAAAGTCCCAAGTCCTAAGGGGTCCTTCCTTCTTCATCTAATTGTTATTTTGGGGATGGTGGCTTACAATCAGGAATTTTCCCTCTTTTCCTTGTTTAGGTCACAGGAGGGTCCTCCCACACTCTCACAAACTTTGTACAAATGTCCGCAAGGCATCAATAAGCAGATAACACTGAATTTGACTTGGTTTCAGCCTTTTGTAACCTCTTGTACAGTAGAGGGAGATGTAGTACAAGGAGCCATTCAGTTCATGTGCTGATAATGACTATGCTGACAGGAGGAGAGTACAGAGTGACAGAAAAGAAAGCATCAGGCTGATGCTTCTCCTTTACTGTCCAATCATGTACTTTGAAGTCTTTTGCTTTGAAGTGTCAAACTTTGCATATTGTTGGTCAATGACAAGCCTCTTCTCAAAGTCTGACTCAGATCTGTAGCACTTTTGATAGATAGTGGATGCACAGTGCAGAGGAACGTACATAATATGGCATGGTATACATGGGCCACCCATGTAAGATAGGGTGGGCCATGCTTACAGTGCTGTTTTATTTACTTTCCTCTGGACTGTGCATCCACTCTCTAGCCAAAGCTCTACAGATCACTGCACTGTCTCCCTCAATGTTTATGACCGGAATCCAATGGGGTGGGCTGCTGATCATGTGATTACTGTGACAACCTAAAACAGAAATCGTATGACTAGGATACCCATGTAACACTGACATTACAAATTTCTATAGGCTTGCTCCTGCAAGACAGGGTAAAATAAAACTGAGTGCTGCTCAGTGCCTTCATTTAATTGTGTGAAACTATAAATGGTCACAGTCTCAGCTATTGACCAATGTCCTGCTACAGCCATACATTTATTGACACCACGTGAGATTTTACAAAAAAATCCACTTAAAAGTACAGAATTTTAAGGAATAGACTTTTCATCGATTTTCTTTGGTTTGTGCTTAATGGGATGTTTATAAAACTGTCAATGAATTTGTTATACAAATCAGTATTTTTTTTTTATTCAATTCACCTAGGGCAAGGTATTTTAATGTTTTAAATGAGCTTCAGTAGTAAAGTGTCATGGGGGGAAAAAATTGGCTTTTTAGAAGCTCTATTGATCTGAAATCCCAGCTCGTAGCAATACATTCTCTAAAGAAAGGCTTGTGACTCTTAGGAAAGCACCACAGCTGCTAGATGATATGCTACTAATATGTTCTCAACATGGTCTGCTAATCAGCAATAGCATAGGCACCTTCTGTTTCGTTATGTACAGTATAATGAAGCAACATAGAGATTTATTGGAGATCACTAGAGAGATAAGACTGGAAAAACCTACACCTTACAGACATTAGTGGGAAGTATCTCCTCCCTCTCTGGAGGGGTCCTACAGCCCGTGGTCAAACAGCTGTTTTAGGGCTGCTGCTTGTAGGAACATTGATACTACTTAGATGGCCCCATACTGTGCTGAGTAAAGGCTCATTCCCACTGGCATGATCTGTAAATCTGTTGAAAGGAATGCCCTCATTTGCTACACAAGGCCAGGGGGTCTTGTAAAACAAAAAAATGACCAATCCTTTAAATAGGGCACAAGTATGTAATTAACATCAGTGATGGTAGTTTAGGTTTTTGGAACAAAGTCGCTAGATGCTTGGCTTGTAAAAATCAAAGATGTACTTACCTTGTGTTACTATATATCACTTTGTAATACAATATGCTGCCCTCTGATCTCCTGGGCTGTTTTATGTTGCTCTGTTAAACCATTCAGAAAAGGAGAGAGATTTCTCCTGCAGATTTTACGCTGTGACCTGCAGAGATACAATTTTGTCATTGCTTTGACCTTATACTTATGAAATATTTTCAGCTGGTTTTTGCCAAAAACAACCTATTGGGCTTTTATATTACAATTTTAAGCAGCACTGAAAAGATAGAACATGGAATTTGATTGTTTAATATATGCACCACGGGTGCGTTTTTGACTTAATAATGTACTATACATCTTTGGCAAAAATATAAAAGTCATACAGGGGATATAATAAGATTTCGGTTAGCCTACAATGTCATATCATTGAAACAGGTTGATTTAATAAGGCCCCACTCACACTTTGGCGTGCCAGGAATGAGCACAGAAATGCGCCAAAATATGCATCATGCTTGCGGCATCATTAATTCTTAATGGCACCAATTCCTGGCTGAGAGACGTGAGCTTTGTCGTGTTTGAAAAATGAATAAAAACTTGTGCTGCAAAACATGGTATGCTCAGTGCCAAAAAAGGTACATGAGATACTTTGGCGCAATTGTTGCGTGTAGGCTGCCCATTCAAAGGAATGGGCTGCCCTATGCTGTCTCATGAAAAACTCAATAAAAAAAGCTGTAAACAAACTTGATGTGTCGTTTTGCACAAGTGTGACTGTGACCTAAAGGTTTAGAGCAGTGTTCTCCAAACTGCGGCCCAGACGCTGGATGTGACCCTTTGCTTGCCTTTATCTGGCCCTTGGGGCACTGTTCCATTCACTGACACCAACAATTGGGCATATGTCCACTAACTGCCACCAATGAAGGGGCACAATTCCTCCCAATGACACTAACAATGGAGCACAATTCCTCCTAATAACACTGAAAATGGGGCACAATTTCTCCTAATGACACTAACAATGGGCCACAGTTTTGCCCAATGACACCAACAGTGGGGCAAAATTCCTCCCAATGACACCAACAATGCGGCACAATTCTTTCCACTGACACCAATGATGGGGAACAATTCTTCCCACTAATACCAATGATGGAGCACTATTGCTCCTCCCACTGACACCAACAATTGGGCATATGTCCTCTCAATGACACCAATGAAGGGGCAAATTCCTTCTAATGACAACAACAATGGGGCAGTATTTCTAGCACTGACACCAACGATGGGGCATTGTTTATTCCCACTGACACCAGGACAATGTCTACTCCCACTGGCCTCAGTTCGGCCCCCCCTACAGTCTGAAGAACAATATATTGGCCATTTGTTTAGCAAGCTTGGAGACCCCTGGTCTAGAGACAGTTCACTTAGCTTACTAAATAAAATGAAGATGTGTTCAAATTTGATCTTCTTTTTATTAATAAAGTAGAATTCTTGCTTGAAAATGTTTGGATGATTGAATATGGATTTTTGTATTTTTTTATTTTTGCTAAGCTAAGTAAACAGTCTCTTTGCTAAGTGAGCAATCTCTCCAGCCCCTTGCAAAGCAACCCTAGAGAATATTTGCCTGAACATTTCTGAATACACAAGTTAAAAAAATAACAACTGATCGCCCACAATTTTAAATCAGGTACGGTGTTACCATATGCATTAAGATAAACCTAACTATATTCTAACCTTCTGAAATGTTAAATTATGACTGAATCAAACGTATTTGTGATTTTTGATGTACAGAAGATATTCATGTTTTTAGTAGATCACCTGTAAAAATGCATTTTACTAAAATGTAGATTCTTTTAAAAAGTTGACATTCACATTTTTATTTTTAAAATAATGCATCTTTTTGCATTAAAGTGTATGTAAACCCGTAATCTGTTTTTCAGCATGTAACATGTATACACTAACTGGATAGAATATTTTTTCTCTTGCAAATCATCTTACCTGGAGACCCTGCCAATAACAGCACTTCCTGTTGAAAAGTATACCTTATGGAGCCACTCCAACCTATGGATGGAAGAAAAAGGATCACCCCACCAGCAAGTGAGAAGAGGGGAGCATGAGTCTGAGCGATTCCAGTGTCAGCCAATACAAGTGAAGGAATGGACGCTGCTCAACAGACCCCTGGAGTCCAATTTTGAGGAATGGCCTCAGCCTCCACACTTGTCACTCCCTCTGACGCATTTCACCCCATCCACTGGGGTTTGGTCACAGGGGTGCGTGCTGACAACTAAGTCCCTGTTTTGTAATTGGCTGCATTGTCTTGCATGATCCTTCATTTTGCCATGGGGCTGCCTACTTATTAAGCTAGATAGACAGCCCAACAGGCAACTGAAGGAGCATGCAAGGCAGGATGACAATGCTGCTGCAAGACAGTAGGATTGATTTACTAAAGGCAAATAGTCTGTGCAATGGAAGTGCACTTGCAAATGCAGTTGCTCTGGATCGGAGGGGAAACTCTAAAAGGAAGGGAAGATCTGCTGATTTCTATCATCCAATCACGTGCTAGAAAAAATGCTGTTTTTTTTTATTTTCTTTGCATGTGATTGAATATTCTTTGCAAAGTGAAGCTTTACTTCATTTACTAAGCTCTGGAGCAAATGCACAGTCTATTTGCCTTTAGTAAATCAACCCCAGTGACTTAGTGTTGTCAGCATGCAACAGGAAGTGCTGTTACTACTGGCAGGATCTCTAGGTAAAAGCTAAAAACAATATGGCAAGGATTAAAAACACTTGGACTCAAGCAGGTATAGGGGAAAAAGGTTTGGGGACTCAAGTGGTTAACATGTTTCTATTCATTTTCTATATTTTACAATCTGGAGTGTTCATTAAGTGCTGGTTCACACCCAGGGGAGGACTAACAACTCATGGGGCCCCAGGCAATAGGGGCTCATGGGGCCCCTGTGTCCTCGCCCACACTCAATCCACACCCAAAAAAAAGCCTTTGAAAGGTACCAGGGGCATCTCATGGGGCCCCCTACTGACCCCAGGCCCTCGGGCAGTGCCCGAGTTCCCAAATGGTCAGTCCGCCCCTGCTCACACCACAGAAATGCAGTCTGGATGCATTCTGGATGTGATTCTGTATGCACGTTTTTGATGCGTTCCAGTGCATTCTTTTTGTTTTCCAGTGTGTTTTTGATGTGTTCCAGTTCATTTTTTCCACTCACTTTTTCTTCAACTTAAATAAGGACACGTGCATTCCGGTGCATTTAGGTGTGTTACAGTGTGTTTTTGATGCATTTTACTGCGTTCCAGTAAAGTTTAGTGCAGAAAAAAACAGCAGCTTGTTCTACTTTTTTTTCTGGAACTGGAACGCACTGCAACTGACCGCACTGGTGTGAACTATGCCATTGGAAACCATGTAACCTACTATCAATGCATTTTCATGCAGAAAAAAAACACACTGGACTTCATGTGGTGTGAATTGGCCCTAAGATAATAATTGGTGATCCTGCCATGAAGATCCTTATTCAAGTACTTCCTGTTATAGGGTAGCAACTGTCCCCAATAATGCTCCTGCATTGTCACCCTGTCATAAAAACATCTTATGGAGACTGCCGGTGGTCATTCTAACATATTTTATGCAGTCATGGTCAACTGTTGTCACCATTAGGAAACCCAAATTGAGGAACGAGTAGAACCCCCCCCCCCCACCCCAAGTTAGGTGCTACTAGGTTAGGTAAGATTTAGGTAAATTTACTGCATTCATGAGTGGGGCTCAATTAGTGATGCTGGGTTTGACTAGTATAGGCCAGTGGTGGCAAACCTATTGCACGAGTGCTGCAGAGGGCACCCAGAGACCTCTGTCGGCATGCGAGCCAAGTGGCCCCAGCATCACCCTAGTAGACGAGCATCGAATAACAACAGCACACATAGGGACCATGCGCAAGCTTGGAAAGGAATTGTGGCGCCAGGTAATGGTGTCATGAGCCGCGACTCAGTAACTGCGATTCGTCTAAGCTTTTGCATAATTGGTCAGTGTGCTGCCAAGGATATACAGTATATACACTATATTGGACTGGCTGTGAGTTTTAATACATTCGCTTTTATGAACACAAGATTTTAGGTTGTGCCGGTGGTCAGTGGAACTTTGCCCCTTGTGTTGGTGGTCAGTGGAACTTTACCCTCTTGTGCTGGTGGTCAGTGGAACATTGCCCCATTTTGTTGGTGGTCAGTGGAACTTTGCCCCATTGTGCTGGTGGTCAGTGGAACTTTACCCTCTTGTGCTGGTGGTCAGTGGAACTTTGCCCCCTTGTGCTGGTGGTCAGTGGAAGCTATGTTATTGTGTTTTTACTTTAAGACAAAAGATGTTAAATATTTAATTACAGTGTTGGCAAATATGTGGGTTTTGGGTTGCAGTTTAGGCACTCAGTCTCTAAAAGGTTCGTCATCACTGGTATAGGCTGTTCTGGGTTCTGCAGCTGCCTGCCGGCCCCTGTTCTTGCAGAATGTGCTGGAACATAGTGGGTTGGAGAAGGCAGAGACTGGGATGATTATGCATACTTCCTCAGCCAATCCCTGGTCAGAAGAGTGACCAGCAAGGGGTTGAGAGGTATAAATGCACTGGAGCCTGGAACAGTAGGGTCCTTTGCCTACTGGAGAGTGACCCACCCTAGAAGTACTGTCAAACCTTCCAAGGTGTTTCTGATACGTCTACAGGAAGTTCTGTATGGTTTTAGTTCAGGGAATAGCTGGAGAACAAACTGCAAGCTGCAGGAACAATCAGAGCAAAGTTTAGGAAGGATTTGGGCAGGAGGCTCATGGTACAGTGTTGGCTGATACTTGAAGGAGGTGTCCATGTATGCAGTGGCAGAGTGAGTAGAGGCCTGAGAGAGATCCTTGGGAGAGACTGTTGCTAGTGTGTTCTTTTTGTTGAAGACACTTTTCCAGATCTGCTGGCCAGGGTACTCTCCACTGTGGGATTCCCCCTGTGCTAAATTGTTCACATTGTTTTACATTGAAAGCCTTTGCCACACAAGTTAAAGTGATTCTAAAGACTTATTTTTTTTAAAGAAAAAAATAACAAACATGTCTATACTTACCTACTGTGTGCAGTGGTTTTGTACAGAGCAGCCAGGATCCTCCTCTTCTGGGGTCCCCCGCAGGCTCTCCTGGCCCCTCCCTCCTGTGGGGTCCCCCCACAGCAAGCAGCCTGCTATGGGGGGCAGCCACTGCTCCATGTGTCTATTCACAGAGGGAGCTGTGGCTCGGCCCCGCCCCCTCTCCTCATTGGCTTACTGGCTGTGATTGACAGCAGTGGGAGCCAATGAGAAGAGGGAGTCCTGGGATAGCCAAGATTCCTGTGCACATCGCTGAATTGAGAAGGGGCTTAGTTGAGTATTAGGGGAGACTTGGGGGAATGCTGCACACAGAAGGTTTTTATATCTTCATGCATAGAATAGAGCATAGAAAATAGAGAATAGAGCCTTTAGAACCACTTTAACTGTCCTCAATTAAGTTTGTCTTAGTAATGGGTATCTCAAGGCTCACCCTAAACCACTGGTGTCCAACCTGCAGCCCTCCAGAACTACAAGTTCCATCATGTCTTTGCCCTTGGGAGTAATGCTTGCAACTGTCAGCCTTGCAATTGTGAGATGGGGAAACAGCTCTCATTGTTTGAACACTGTTTGTGTGCAGTAAATTATTGTGTGGAGTAAATTAAATGTTCTGGAGTGACATTCTGGGCGGTTTAGCCACAAGATGCCACTGTTTTCCTAACACAGCCTCAGACTGCATAGATATTTCTATATTCATGAAGAGGTGGGGTTTTCACACAGAGTTTGAGAGAACAGGAAGGAGAGAGAGAAGCCATGTTTTGGAGCATGGTGAATAAGAGGCCGTGTGAGCTGAGAATTTGATGACATCCAGGTGTGAAAGCATCCCTCAGTAACCAGAGCTGCAGCTGAGTGAAGCTGATGAGATTGCTGCCAGGAAGCTGATGAGATTGCTGCCAGGAATGCTGATGAGATTGCTGCCAGGAAGCTGATGAGATTGCTGCCAGGAATGCTGATGAGATTGCTGCCAGGAATGCTGATGAGATTGCTGCCAGGAAGGCTGATGAGAGCAGATGAGAGCAGAGGAACTAAGCAACATATACGGCGAGACCGCATGCTTGTTGGAGAGACATTTGGTCTGTTCAGAGTCACCAGCGGATGAAAAGCAGACACGGGTTGGTAAGATCGTGCACGCACCTCATTTCAGTGTTGGCGCCTTGAGACTGAGTCCAGGCCTATAGTTAGTTAGTTAGGGTCTCTGTTTGTGTCAGGCCACAAGTGTTGTTACTCATTATTGGAAGGACTCCACAACTTAAAGTGACATTTCACATTGGAGAGCTGATAAAATCCCACAAACTCAAGCCAGACTGGCATTTTGCTCAGAAGGAATACTCAGGCACGTGTTATAGGACCAGTTATGGGAGAGGGAATACTGTACATTTGTGTAAGATTGTAAGCTGTTGTGCTGCACCATAGGCTAGCCCATACCATACACCCATACACTGATTCCTGCTCTTTTAGGGTAATAACAGGTAAGGTGTGGCAGCTTATTTGTGCCCACCAGTAGATAAATTACTTCACTTTCTACCTTCATCCATCAGAAGGTGCCATGCTGTGCAGCAAAAGGGTCTCAGCCTTTGAGCTGGGTGTATGTAAATTTATTGTATGTTTCCAGCATTTGTGGTTGTGTTTATTTGCCACATCTAAGTAAAATTCTGTTGTGGCAAAAGCTGGTGTTGGGGTTGCTTTCCTCGTTCATGACTTCACTGTATCCTGGGGAGCCCACCCCGGTACACGGCTTACAACTTGGCATAGTCGGCAGGATACAGCGACCGTTATGGACAGGAATGCGGCGGGAGATCCCCCGGTGCCAATGGCACCGGTCCAGGACCCAGCTCAGGGTGCGCCGGTGCAAGGCCAAGTTGCCCCAACACCGCTGATACAACTTGCCCCCGCCCTGCCCGTACCAGTAGGGTACATTCCCGTGGGGGCGCAGTTGAGTCACCTGCCAAAATTTGACTGTAAAAATATGACGTTGCAGGACTGGACTGAAAGAGTGCGAAGTGCGGTTAGAATGTGTAACCTGAGGTCCGAGCTGCGAGCAGAGGTTGCATTGGGGGCTCTAGAGGGTGATGGCAGATGGACAGTAATTGTAAGGCCTGAATCTGAGAGAGACACCCTAGAGAAAATCTTCTCCCTGCTGGAGAGAGCCCAAGGGGGGCGTGCTAAAGTAGTGCAGCTGCGGAGCCACTTCTTCAACCAACCACAGCAAGAGGGCGAGACCCTGATGCAGTACTCCAATGCCCTACAGGAGACGCTAAATGAAATACAGCGGCAAGATCGAGAGGCCATGGGAGCTTTCCGGGAGGTGGACCGGCTACTACGAGACCAGTTCATAATGGGGCTCTCCAACAAGTTCTTACAGGACAAATTGCAAGAGATGACCCGGACGGGGCCCAACATGACATTCTACAGCATCTACTTAGCCGCTGTGGAGAGAGAGGAGGAATGCATACCTGTGGTGGCGAGAATAGTGAGTAGTACCCTTGCTACAAGAGGTCAGTCTGCATCTGAAGACTCAGAATCCTTAAAGGATGTGATTCAGGCCCTGCGGACAGAATTAAGAGAACTTCGGCTGGAAGTGTCCCAGGTGAAGGCAGAATCTCCCCGGCCTCTGGAAATGACCTCAGCACTTCGCGCCACTCCACTCAGGATAACTTAGCTGCGGGGGCATGTCAAAAGGGGACCCCTCTGTTGGGCTTGTTGACAGTACGGCCACATGGCCAGAGAGTGCCCAGAACAGATGAAGTCCGAGCCAACGTTAAACTTCTGACCGCCGCAGTAGCTGGGCGTCCTGCGGCGGTACACCAGAAGTTAAGCCCTAAGCATGAGGAACACGACCTGTATGCCAGCAGCCCCGTTATGGAAACTGAGTTGGAAGGCCAGAAGGTACGCTGCCTAGTTGATACAGGGTCGGAGTGCACCCTAATGCCTCTGGAGTTCTTCGAAAGACACTTTGGACATATGATGGAGCCGGAAGACG